TTTTCATCTTTTTGGTTGCAAATATTTTGTTTTAAACAACGAAAAAGATAATCTTGAAAATTTTGATGCAAAAAGTGATGAAGGTATTTTTCTAGCATATTCTTTAAATTCAAAAGCCTTTAGAGTCTTTAATAAAAAAAAAGTAGTTATTGAAAAGTCTATGCATATTTATCTTTAATGACTTTAATCCACCTCCGAAAAAAGTATCTCTTGATGATGATGATATAGGTATACTTCAAGAATATATCAATGATGCATCACATGACATTAAGGAAAATATTCAAAAAAAAGATGATGAATTTCTAGATGAACCACAACAAATAGAATAAAAATCAAATCACCATTAAAAAAAAGAGATATGTCAAAGATAGTGAGATTATTGGTGATCCAACTTAAATGGTAGAAACTAAATCTTCTTACAATGTGTGTAATTTTGTTGCTTTTCTTTCTCATATTGAACCTAAGAATATAGATGATGCCTTAAGATATAATCATTAGATTTTGGCTATATAAGAGGAATTGAACCAATTTGAAAGAAACAAAGTATGGAATCTTATACCTAAACCTAGTGATCATCTTACTATAAGCACCAAATGGATTTTTAGGAATAAAATGGATGAGCATGACAATATTGTTAGAAATAAAGCTAGGCTAGTGGCTCAAAGGTATAGTCAAGAAGAAGAAATTAATTATGATGAAATCTATGCCTAGTTGTAAGGTTAAAAGCCATTAGGATATTACTTGCATTTGTATATTTCAAAGATTTCAAACTCTTTCAAATGGATGTCAAGAGTACATTTCTAAATTATTTTATAAATACAGAGGTATATGTAGAGCAACCTCTCGATTTTGAAAATTTTCAATTTTCAAATCATGTTTATAGATTGATAAAATTTTATATGGTTTAAAACAAGTTCCTAGAACTTGGTATGAAAGATTGTTAAGTTTTTAATTGAAAATAGTTTCAACAAAGGAAAGGTTGATATTGCACTTTTTATTAAAACAAAAAGAAAAGACATTCTCATTATACAAGTTTATACTGATGATATTATATTTGGTGCTACTAATGAAACTTTTTATCAAGAATTTGCTAAAACTATGCAAAATGAATTTAAAATAAGCATGATGAGAGAGCTTACATTTTATTGAGATTACAAGTGAAGCAAACAAAAGATGGAATATTTATCAATCAAGCTAAATGTATCAAGGACTTACTCATAAGGTTTGGATTGGAAGAATCAAAGTCTTACTCAACACCTAAAAGCACTTCAATAAAACTTGATAAAAATGAAGAAAGTAAATATATTGATTACAAATTATATAGGTTTATGATTGATTCATTATTATATCTTACTGTAAATAGACTGGATAAAATATTTAGTGTAGGCACAGGCACAGCCATGGTAAGATGCAAAGTTCCTTAAAAACTCCCATGAGTATGCATTCCTTCGGACATGCAAAACAACTTACTCCACATTTACATTTTATTTTGTCTAATTTGCTGACATGCAGCTTAGTTTCGCTAACAAAAACTTTAAGCCCTCCTTCGTAATATGGCTTCTCTTATGTGCATGCTTTATTTTGGATATAGTACCCATTTTCGTTGTGTCCACATCAGCAAGATTGAGCTTCTTTTTTATGTCTTATTTGTTATATCCATGCATGGCATTAAAAGGTCTACAAGCGCCACCACTTGCTTGCTATCCCTGTAATCCTATCAAATTTATATCCGTAAATTCATTCATTTGAATCAAAATCCAATTTAACTAGATTTTATTATAAAGTTAATAATTCAAATTTACTAAACCCAAAACTGAAAATAATTTGAAGTCAAATCAATTCAAAATCGAATGGAACGGAACTATATGAAATGGAAATAATTCAAATTTGAAAGGATCTAAAATTAAAATAATTCAAAAAATTAATTTGAAATAATCTGAAACTAAATTAAATATTATTTTATTTAAAATATTAATTTAATAAAAATAACACAAATAAAAATAATAAATGTAAGACAAATGATAAGTTATTAAAATTATTGAAAATATCAAATTAGTATATATTTTTAATATTAAACAAGTTATATAAATATTATTTCACTTATAAAATTTCTTATAATTTATAAATATAATTTGAAATAAATTATATATTTTTAATTATTATGGGTATACATATCAAAGTATCATTTAGAATGAATTATATAATCTCTTATACTTATATATTGGTATCAACTATCATATGATTTAGAATGAAGTATATAAAAGAAGCTATTGATTTGTATGTATGTGTATATAAATATATATATATATATATAGTTTATATTATAATTATATTTTTAATTTTTAATTATGTAATTGAAATAAATTGTATAATAAGTTATAATTATACTAAAATAATTATTTATATTGTAGTTAATTATTACTATAAAAAAAAACAATTGCATATTGAATTTGTAAATAAATATTTAAAATAATTTTTGTATCATTATATTAAATTTGTAATTGTGTATTATAATTAAAAGTTTAAAATAGTCTTTGTATGTTTATATTAAATTAAAATAAATTAAATGTGTACACATATGACATGGTTTAATTAAATATATTTTTGTGTCTTATAATGTCAAAATTTATGTTAATATGACTAAACATGAAACATTTTTTTAAATCTATGTAATTTTTTTCATATTGTTTTGATGCCATGTTATTTTATTGTATTTAAATTTATTTAATCTAATAAAATTACATATTTTTTCATTTATATACAAATTAACTTTACTTAAAACACAAATTATAATATTTGTATTTATTTTTAAAATACTTTTTTTAATAAAATTATAATAAATTCTAGAAATAGAGATCGCTGGTGATTTGTGCATGGTTTGTTTAAAAAAAAAAAAATCAAAATATCAATTTCGTACATTCAGTTAACACGTGATAGTAGCTGATACTAAACATCTAAATTCAGGTTGATTTATAGAAACATCAAAACATTAAAAGTATTTTTTAAGTCCAATGGTCAGCAAGTGATTTTTAAATATGTATGAAGTAAGATGATATTTAATTCAAAATTTACACATCATACGTACTATTTATTCTTTTTAATACTTTGTAACCATAAAACATCGTATTAATTAAAATTTCTAAATTTTAATATAAAATACACCATAATTTTTTTTATCTTGTGAAATTTAAATATGGATAAAATAAAAAGGGATAAGTAATAATAGATTTGTTCATATGGACTTGACAGACAACAAGGTTAGTGGGATATGATTTAATTAATAAATACTTTTAATTTATTTTAATTTTAAATATTAAATATTAATAATATACAAATAATTTTAATATATATTTTTTAATTTTGCTCGACTATTTGGGCTGGGACCGACCAAGGTGGTATTTTATGAATCTAACGTGATTTGACCCATGAACATGGGCTCATGGTTATTAGAATTCAATCATATATTTAATTGTTCAAGATTTTCGGTCATTGGATTAATGATTTAATTATTAGATTAATGTGTCAATTGTCAGTTTAATAAAAAATATTATAAAAAATATAAATATTTTAAAATTTTAAATTTCAAACTTTTAACTAAAGATATAGTTTAATAATTCAATATAAAACTATAAATTTTAAGATATATCACAAACTACAAATTTTAAAATATAAAATTTATAGAGCAATTAATTACTAATTAAAACTGAAATTACTTAACATTTTATTCAAATCATATTTTATATTTTAATAGTTAGAAATAATATGTATATTTTAATAAATATAATAAATAATAAGTAATATATAATTATAAATAATTATTATTTATATTTATTAAATATAAATATTATTTATTAATGTATAATAATTAATTTTTATGTAATAAAAAAGACATATCTATATATAAAATAATAAAAAAGAAATATCTATATTTATATGAAAATTAGTGAAAAAGAAATTAAAATCATTTGTATATTTTTTATATAAACGTAGATTTTTTTATTAATTTTACATATATACATATTCTTTTACTAATTATTTTCAATCATAGTCAAATAATTAATTATTTTTATTAATATTTTAATTTTTTTGTTAATCTTATATATTATTAATTTTAGAATTATTTTTAATTATTGTATCAATTAATAAAATTTTTTTAGATCATCCTTTTTTGAAAATTGCTTATTTTTATACATATATAAGTTTTTTTACAATATCATTATCCACATATTTTAAAATATATAACATATCATTAATATAAGGATGCAAGGACTTTAATAGTAGAAAATAAGAATTGTGGAGCTTATTTAGATGAAATAATAATATAAATGTTTAATTAGATTATTTTGAATATTTGAAAGTTTTTTTCATATTTTATCTAAATTTATCAGTGAATATTGAACCAATTCAATTTTAAAAAATACAATTCACTAATTTATTATGTAAATCACAAATTCACAATAGTTTAAAAGGGATTTAACAGCAAAATTGATTTAATTACAAAACCAGATCAATTTCAATATTAGTTCATCGATTCATTTGGTCAAATGAATGGTTCAATCTTATTCTAATAACTATGCATGACGTATGTATTTTTCTCACTCAAGAATAATAGTAAATACTATTTGGTAAATTGACTAAATTTAATATTAATAAAATTTAAAAATAATTTTTTTGTTTTAATAAATTTAAATAATGAATTTATGACAAACATTTTTTGATATGATATTGAATTAAACATTTTGTAGATTTAAAAAAAAAGATTTTATAAGTATTTTAAATTAATACAAATTTTAAAAAATAAATAATTACATAATATTTTTCTGAAATAAGTTGAATTGACATATTATTCAGTGATTAAAAGTTATTTAACATTTTAAATATTTTGTTATTAAAAGCCTTTTATTAAGTGATTTTTAGAATGAATTATAGAAAAAAAAATAAAAATGTTGATTTGATGCGAGTTTTATTTACCCCAAAACTAAATCAAATGAAATAGTACAATACCCACCTCTCCATGCGAAGGCCAAGACCATTTGAATTAAAACAGTCTTTGTCATAATAAATATTTTCTCTACCAAATGCATTTCCATTACCCTTTTTTTTCTTTAAATTTTACAGCAAAATTCATTACAAGATGAATTAGACGAGAATCAAATACATAAATGTGTAAATTAAATTGCAACATCTAACCTCAAAATACATGTTTCTCTCCCTTCTGATTTTCCAGTTCATGTAGATTGCTTGTTCAAATCCAGGCAGTTACGATGTTTTGTTGGTTCTACTTCTACTTGCACACAACCACTGTCTGGGATTCAAAATATCATTGTCTGTGATGGGAGGAACATGCCAATTACCGCTTTCTGACTCCTACATTTTCATAATTATCCGATATTCGTCGAAACAAGCAAAAAATTTAATATGAAAACAAAGCATAAACATCAAGAATAAATTCAACAGAACTCAAGGATTTAACCAATCTCTCACCTGAATAACAATAGAGTATGGGGGAGGCATGTGAAGCATAAGACCATTTCTTGTCATAGATAATCGAACCTACAAATTATCAAGAAAACAACCATTATTTCATTTTTTTTTTTTAAGTTAATCAATGAGATTGTTCCTTAAAATATACATTATTCTTACCATTTAATCTCAAAATAGCCAACAGATATATAGTAAAGTTTCCCAAGTGCTTAGTTATTATGTGTTACATGTACATATTTCAACAATAAGAATACTAGATAAGCTCATAACAGGAAAACAGCTCTTTTTTTTATTTAATTAAGCGACAAAGGGTTCCAGAGGCCAGTACATCCCCTCTGCCAATCCAAGCAGGCTTATTACGCCGCGCCTAACAAATTCATGGGAAATTACCTTCCTACAGCCTCTCAGCAAATTTGAACCTAGACAATAAAGAGACACATACACTCTCTTTGCGCCTTAAGTCAACCATTCCTGGGTAAAAACGGCTCATATTGCCGCTTCTCTAGCCAGAACAACCATGCAAGTGCAAGCAAAGCTAGTTTCGTAAAGTATACATTGAAATATAGAATATAGTATATGATTAAGGCATTGCACAGAGACAGAGAGAATACCTGATGCTTTTCCTTCCATCTTGGGAAAAAGGAAGTCCCTAATAACTGGAATAAGTGGTCCCTCATTTCATCATTTGTCACTAGTAAACACTTGCAACTAACAGCAGCATATAGCCAATACCTACAAATAAACATGTCTCTAAAAGAATATTAGCATTCAATTATCAATGTTTCCAAAAGTACAAGATTTCCTTTTCTCAAGTTTTCAGTTTAATATAACAAGGTTTATAGGAAAAATTTTCTATGCTCAATCCATATGGTAAATTTACTAAATAATCCAGAAAGAAGAAAGTAAAGGACAAACCTATTTTCATTTCACCATTTTAAAACTAACTCAGCACCAAAATCAAACTAAGTATAAAGGTAACATCTTTCTGTTAGATGCTAGATAGGTGTAGCCAAAAGTTTATGAAAACAAAATGAACATACAAAATTATGCAATATTTGACAAATTATAACCAATAAAGCCCTAATAACTAAAATTTCAAATTACTTTTATAATTTTGATGTGGTGCACTTTATTTATGAAAAAAATTTGCACACTACATTTAAGTAACACATCATTCTATAACTAAGTTTAGATCTACCACCATAGTTTTGGCAGGACCTTCAATACCTGCACCATAATCAATTCCTGTCACTGCCATCTATCACCAAAAATTTGGAAGAAGACATCAAGTAGAATGCATTACCCATTATAAATTTAGACATAACCTAAATCTTATCAAGTATAATCAATTGAAATTAAAATTTTAATCTATGAAACTTATAGCAAGGTTTTTAATGTGCTAGCAATAGAGGATACTTCTAATAATCAATAAAAATATAGATACAAATGCATAAATATGTTTTGAACAATATAAAAGCATTCTAAACCTTTTGAACCAATTCATTTTACCAAAACCAAACGGAAATGATATTCCATAAAATACATGTTTGAATAATAAATAGGCCCAAAAGGTTGCAAGTAACTCAGCTTTCGATTTTGATTTCATTTCAATCCAATCAGTAGACCTGAGCAAGTCTTTAACTGGTGCTAATAAAAAAACCTCAAAGTTTCGTTTTGTTCAATGGACTTCTTTTTTTTTTTTCTTTTCTTTTTCATTTACAAAGGAGTGGATCACCATTCAAACCAATAAATATAACCAAATGATGCTGGTCAACTTGAAAAGTAACAAATTACTAGATAAACTGGCATTTCTTTCCAAGTTTATTCCATGAGGCTTAATCCACTTTAGAATGCCTATGCCTCACATTAGAAAACTTATGCATATTTATACCTTATAGCTGCCTCCAAGACGCCCCCCATAAGATAGACATTGGAAGGGAAGATAGGGACAATCTAATTGCAGATTGAGAGAATTGAACATTCAAACACTTTGATAAAGTACATATTTTTTCAAGGTAATTTTACATGAAAATACATTCACATGCATTGACAAAAAAATAAAACCAGATATTTAAATAAGAAAAAGAAGATGACTTTTGTGGGGAATATGTTAGAAACAGAAATATATATTGAGAATATTCAATTCAACGATTTCATAATTTTGAAACGAGAACTTACCAATCATCATTTGATCCAGGAGGAGTAGCATAAAGTGCCCCAGCCCTTTTCCAACTCTCTAACAAATTCCTGTTATTGGTAATCCTAGCAGGACCACCAGTTACCCGACTTTGATGCAAAATAACGAGTGGAGACCTTCTTGATGGACTCATTTGTCGTAATTGATTTACAACATTATTAAGCTACAACCATAAAGTGCAGTTAAAGATAGCATATGTATGTCCTGGATCAGGATCATCTGTCCTGAATCTTTTTCTCAGCCTCTATACTTCCAATGAAATAATGCCAGGCATCAATCTGGATGCTTCTCTTTAATCAGACTCATAACTGGGTTAGCATCAATTTTCAAAAATAGATTAATGTAACATCTAAACTGATCCTAATAATTTGTTCTTACCTACAGAAACATACACCAAACCCTTTTCCAGTAAATAATTTGGGGAATATTAAAAAAATTCAGGTATCAAGATCTTTCCCAAATAAATGTTTGATTTGTCAACAAGTTGTAACAAAAATGATCAATTTTTAGTACAAGTGTCTAAAGTCAACTTTTACTTTTGATGGTTACCTTTCTAAAAGAAAAACATTCATGTATTATAAAAGAATATAATATTTGACCAAAGGTCATTGTTCATTATAGCATTAAACATGTAACATGATTTTTTTTTACCCTGGAGGAGCAAGATCATCTAGCAGGATATATAAGAGGCTCCAGAGATTATATCCTTTGTTATAAAGACAATTTCAGGGGAAAAAATTGGACATTGCCTTCATTAATTATTATCTAGTAGTTTATTTTTAAAAATTGATGTGATTTATTGTTGACTTGGGTTAACCTAAAATACAAATATGCTTGAATGCAGAAATGGGGATGATGGCATGGCAATAATTTTTTATGGAACAGAGGCTCAGCCAAATATTTGAGACAGATGATCTTGATACATATATGTCTTGCTTTTAGATATATCACATTACACTTCTTTTGAAAACTCGTACCTGGTAAAAATTGAAAGTATCTGCCTTGATGAGACCCACATTTGCACCATCTACAACTGCATCAAATGGTCCATGCTGCTTCAGCCACTCCTGGAACAGTTCACCTTCCAAAATCAGTTATGTTTTCATTGAGAACCGCTTTATGTAAATATGAATCACTTACCTATAGCATACACAAGTATGATCATGACTGTATACTATGGCTTGGCCACCAAAATCTGAGCTAGTCACTCTATATTGTGAAAGCAGAAAAATAAACAGACATAAAGGATGCAAAACCATTACAATACAAGCCTATTTTACATATCTATCTTTTACATGAAAATACAATATTCTCACTCACAAGTCACAACATCCAGAAATCCAAATATTGATTCAAAAACCCTGATAAAAAAGTAAGTGACGCTACAAAACCAGAGGAAAATCTTTAATGAGTTATGCTCCTGTAGCAAGTTGAGGACCAAAAACCCAAAGTGATCAACTCTATACATTATTTGATTCAATCACAACATTATAAAAACTGTCAAGCCAAATTTCAGAACAATTCTGGTTTTTTTGCTGCGGAACAAAAAAAAAAAAATACACAGCATTACATTATTGCAAATATGTAGCATATAAAGCATTCAATCAGGTACCATACAAGATAGTGATGTAGCATCGGAGAAGGGTAAGAGAGAGAAGAGGAGGGGAGACAAACAAGAAAACATAGATGCAGATAAAGAAAAAGGTGTGGAAGAGTGTGAGAGACTGGGAATTGGATGAGAGCAGGGGAAGAAGAGGGAGTGAACAAAGGAAAAAATCCCAATACTAAAATCTCTTAACTTAATTCTTCATTCATCATTCACATGAAACTATTGAAACTGAAATAACCTAAGTATATATACCTTGCCTATTATCCCTAGTACTTGTTAAAGAAACAGACTAACTCGTATAAAATACCCTGAAATTTCTTAAATATATAAAAATAAATAGAATACATCCAAAGGTTAATATACTTCCTCAATTAGCATGAAATTATTCTGCTCTCCAACAGTGTATAAGAGTAACAAATATGCATATCGTTTTCCAGTAGATTTTAAGTGCCAAACCTTAAAAGTTTAAATAGTATTACATGATAAGACAACAATGTATTTGCAGTATTTTAAGACTCTGGAACAACTAGCAATGGAAACTCCCAACTTCTCAAGGCTATAGTATATCAGAAACTAGGAAACAATAAGGTTTAATGACTTACCTGGAACTGAACAAAATCAGCTTTAACCTCTTTATGGCATGCCAATTCAGTTAATTTGATAGCAAAATTTTCAGTCTCTTTCGGATCAATATCAATGCAAACAAGCTTCTCCCCACAGGACTGACACAAACCATTCTTAGTCATTTTAGTCCTCACTACCCTCCATCTCCCATTTCCCAGCCACCCTTGCCCATGCCACCCTCCTCCTCCACCTACAACTGCTTCCTTTATCTTCTTCACATCCCAACTCTCAGCCCCAACTTTTGCCGCATCCTCTGATTTAAACCAATCCTCAATAATTTGAAGTGTTGATTCTGAGACCTGCCTCACTGTGGCTCGTAACCTTTGCAACATCTCATACACCTTATCCACCTTCTTTCTATCAACACTAACTTTCAAAAGAGCAGAAAACTCAGGCTCTTCAGGCATCACCCCGGATTCAGCCATGTGAGCATCCACTTCGTATCCTTTCTCTGCATTCCCCTTCTCACAGAATCCAAACAAAGCCGGCCCATATGACCTCAGTTTCGGTGGAATTCCAAGGCTCTTCATCTGCTTCACCAATTCAAAAGCCATATCCGGGTCTTCTCTTGCCACTGCCAACCTCGCCATGCTTGTAAAAGTAGTCTCATTCGGAGAAATTTTATCAGAAATCATTTTCTGAAATATCTCAAAACCCCTCTTGAGCCCTAATTCCTTCAACTCATTCACCTCGCCGCCATCGCCACTCGCTTCACGAGCACACAAGTAAAGCAGCACATTGTAATGGTGCAGCTTTAGACTAACCCCGTTACTACTGCCTTCATCATACAAACAAAGAGCTTCTTTAAGTTTACCATGCTTCGAGCACATATCAAGCTTAAATTTAAGCAGACCCTCAGGTGATTCCCTCTGTAATTTCCTTCTTGCTTTGTTGGACATTTCCTTAGTAGTAGACGTATTCAAGGGTGATTTCGCAGCAGTAGCAACCACAGATAAATTTCTTATTTTATCAACAGCAAAGAAATTTACATTAACATTTGAAATACTAACTGGTTTGGCCAATAAATGACAATTGCGACCTAAAGTCGGATGGAATCTATTGCGACAAATCAAAGAAAATGGAATTTTATTAAACATTGAGAGTGAAGGGAAAAATGGGTTTACTCTTCGCATCACTAACAGTATTGGCTCTCTTTTATTTTTGTTTCAGAAAGAGAAATTTATCGAAGAAAGTAAAAATAGGAATTCACTAAATGAGAAATACACTATTATAGTGATGCGGAACGATGCCTGTAAATTGTTTGATGAAATGGTTGAAAGGAAAAAAGGTTGAGTTGGATATCTAGTGTATCACAACTAGTAGACTTAGAGAGGAGGAGAAGAAAATGAACAGTAGTTTTTTAAGTTAAGTCCTACGAGCAACATTTTGAAAGTTTAAGGTACATTTGGATGCACTCTTGCATTAATAATTGTAACGAATCGATAATGATTATTGTAGTGGTAAGAATATGCGATTGGATATAAATATAATGGTAATAACAAAATAAATTATAGTGAGATAAAAAAATTATTATTAAAATTATTAAATCAAAATAAATATTAAATAAAATTTATAATATATTTCATATTTATAAATTTAATAAATAATTAAAAATTAATAAATTTATTTTATATTAAATAATAATTTTGATAAATGATTATAATAAATTAGTTTTAAAAACTTTAAATTAAAAAAATAAAAAAATAAAAAAATAAAAAATTAATTAATTAGAGAATGTTAAGTGAAACATGTAAGTGGCAAGATATATGCCTAGGACATCGACAGATGTAATGTAATTCAAGGCAAAAAAGAAGACAAAAAAAGTAACTAGTTAATGGACTGTAAACACTTAATTTGTCTGGGACTTACTTGTAATTTTTTGTGAATAAAAAAAATAATAAAAAATATAAAAATATAAAAAATGAAAAAAATAAATAATTGAATTTGTGTAAAATTATTAGAATTGATTTGTAAAATTAGAGTTAAATTTAAATTTAAAATTAAAAAAAAATTAAGATTCTTTTTTGAATTGAAGTTTTAAATTTCAGAATCCTATAAATATATAACTATACCTGTACATATCACACAAACACACGAAACAAAAATTAGGGAGAGAAATAAAAAATTGATGGCAGGTGAAGGAACGTGAAGCTGTTGGCACCGAAAAAAGAAAAAGAACCGAAAAGAAGACTGGGCAATAAAAAACGTAAAAAGTTAGTAGGAACCGAAAAATAGTGAAAGGCAACAGTGGAGGGAACCACGTGCATGTAGAATAGGTACCTTAGTGTGATGCCTTAATGTCATAGGCTAGTGGTAAAATTTCATCCCAAGGCTTACGTCAATTTTAGTATTTTTACTTATTTTTATTTATTTAATTATTTATTTTTTGCAAATTCTTTAATTGTTTGGTACTTATTTTTTTCTTTAATCGATTGTTTATTCATTTTTTATGTTTTATGCATAATTATTTATTTATTCACTTTATTTTATGATTTTCATTATTTGATATTAAATAAAATAAAAAAAGTAAAAAAAATAAAATTTTGAGAATAAATATTAATTATCCAATGATGAAATTTATAAAAATCTTAAATGGTAAATTTTTATAAAATTTTTAGATAAAAAATTTTATCTAGATTTATCTCAAATGGTGGAATAATTTAGATAAAGTTTTAATAACAATAATTAATATTTATTTTCAATCCAAAAAAATAAAAAATAATAAAAAATATAAAATTTTGGAATTAAATACAAATTATCCAAGGATGAGATTTTTAGAAATTTTAAATTGTAAATTTTTTAAGAATTCTCTAGGTGAGAAATTTCCTATAAATTTAGCCTAAATTGTGAAATAATTTAGATGAAATTTCAATATAAATAATTGTATTCTTTTTCAAATAAAATTTTGATTGAAAATATGTGATAATTATCCGAAGATGAGATTCTTAAAAATTTCAAATGGTAAATTTCTAAGAAATCTCTTGGTGAAAAATTTTCTCTAAATTTGACCCAAATGGTGGAATAGTTTAGATGAAAATTTTCAATAAAAGTAATTGTCATATTATTTTCTTTCCAAAGAAAAATAAAAAGAATTTCTAAATAGGGCCAAATGGTAAAAAATTTTAGAAATTCAAAAAGAGAAAATATTTTTAATTTAGCCCAAATTGTGAAATAATTAGATATGTTTTTTACTAAAAAATAATAAATAAATCTTTTTTCGATGACGAAACCTCTTCAAGAAATCAAATTGGATTCTTGAATACTCTTGAGGTAAGAAAATATTTTTTAACAATTCTACCAGATTGATGGAGAATCTTACAAATTATTTCCAATATTTCAACTTAAAATTTGAAACCATTAGACTCAAGACCTTAGGATAAATTTGAAATAATATGATACCATCATTCGGATGGGCATGTGGGGGTGCTATAACCTTTTCCATATGTAATCGACTCCCGAACCCTATTCTGGTTAGTAGACTCAAACCTATTCTTTTATGAGCCCTTAGCCAAGCTTAGGAGTTCCTTAAAGAAATAGATTCTCAAGTGGCCAATCACACCTAGTAAAAAAGATTGGTGGCGACTCCATTCATTTGATAAATCTAGCTATAAATTTTTGGATTTATATGTTATGACAGTTTGACGACTCCACTTGGAATGCTAGAGAGTCAAGCCATAAATTTTGAATTTATCCTATCCTTTGAACTAATGGTTTTAAGTTATTTGTTTACTAGCGTTTTTTCTTTTGTTTTTATTTGATTTATGAGGTTGATAATTTTATGTTTTTTTGCACACACTATCACATGCATTTGCATTACATGAGCTCTATATCCGGGCTCTGTCCCTCTTAGGAGGGAGTAAAGTACCTACGTTCTCGTAAGATAATAATCTCCATAATGGCTAGCGAAATACTCTCACTCAAATTGAATCATTTTCGTTGGTAGCTTGTGATGGGTGAAGATTAGACTGCCTTACTAGTCTGTGATGGACAATAATGTAAGGAATAATTTGAGAATCTTTTGGTAGTCAAAATCTCTTAACCCTGTATATAGTTCATCCTTAAAAGACCAACCTAAGATAGAGCCTTTCTTACCCATTAATAGTATAACCCAAAATTAGGACACAAAAAGGAACGGTATGTTATCTAACCATTTTGTTTGCTTGATTTTGTACATCTACACCATCTTCATGTCATTTCATTCTATGCATCATCTTCATATCATCACACTTCATGTTTTAGCATTATAATATCATATCATTTTATGCATCATTTTCATGATTATGTCTAACACCATCATTTGCATATAAGAAATATTTACCACATATCAGTTATTGATAAATCAGATCTCTCACTTACATCTATGAAAAGCCAAACGTAATCAAAGTTTACATCAGTCCATTATGAGTCTACTCATCAAGTAAAATCAAGTCAGAAAAAGGTCAAAGAAAATAAGAAAACTACTTGCCTGAGGGTTTTATTTCATCATTACCCCAGAAAGTTCATCTCGAGCTACAGCAAAATGATCTAGCTGACTTAAGTAGTGTCTGGGGATGCATGAGTAAAATAAGGCATGAGGTATTTGAGAATAAGTATGGAGATATAGCTTTACTGCTTCAGGTAGAAGTGGACAGTAATTTGATTAGGGCCAACATTCAGTTTTGGGATCTTTCTTATAGATGTTTCATTTTCAATGAAGCAGACATGATGCTCATAATTGAAGAGTATATGGTCTTACTTCGCTTCGATCTGTCAAACCCAGATAAGATTTATTGGCCCAATAAGGTGGGCTATCGTAAAAAGCTAATGCAAATGCTTGGACTTAAATTACCTCAAGTTGATTCATGTGTTAAGATAAAAGGTGAAAGTAAAGCTATTCCATGGAGTTTTTTGTAAGATTTCATCCAAGGGCACATAAATGATGAGCAGGGATTAGTGGCTATGGCTATAACTTTATATGGATTAGTGATCTTTCCAAAAGTCATCGAATATGTTGATGTTACAGTGGTAGATTTTATTGATCAGTTAGCATATCAGGTTAATGCAGCACTAACCATTTTGACAGAAACCATTTGTTCTTTAAACTTTTGTCATAGAAATGGTAAAAGTCGATTTAATAGATGCCTACAGTTGCTTTATGTATGGATGAAGAGTCACATAGAATGTAAAAAAAGTTAATTCCATAAACCATACCTTCATTCTAGTATCCTCATCAAAGAATTATGTTACAACATATGGCTTCAAGCAAAGTCAAAAGAAGAATGGGTTTCTTATTTTTAAGCCCTTGATAGTCAAACGATAGTTTGGAGAACACCTTGGATGCGTCATGATACGGTGTTATACAGTTGTGAAGATCAACTGTGGGTGTTTTTATTAGGCCTATGGGGTGCTGTTACTTATGCCTCAACTTTGGTGAGAAGACAATTTGGGTGTGAACAATTCATTCCAGAAACCTATGGACTTAACCAATGAGAGTTCTTATTCACTGATAAAGGGGCATATGGAATGGTTGAAAAGATCAAGAAAGCACGAAAGCAAACCATCAAGGTTAACCAAGGGAGGTTTATTTATGACGTCACTCCAGAATATAGTGTGTGGCATGCGAGAAGGGGAAAAGACATTGTGCTTCCTAGTGGACAATTAGGGCATTCCCTAAAACCCATTTTTAAGATCTTTTGCTTAAAGCAGAAATAACAAAGAAAAAACTCCAAACTGAGAAATATGAGCTTAAACAAGAAAACAAGCGATTGAAGTTAGAAATGAAAGAGAGTTTGAAGCTTCAAGAATTAAAAATCCAGAGCCTGACAAAATAAAAAGATCAATGGAGAGCGTTATTTAATGATCTAGACATAACACATTCATCAGTCACACCTGAGCTTGTCCGATTTAAAAAAAAATGAATTGTTAAAAATAAGGGTAGAAGAAGAATAAAAAGTCATTGCTAGAGCACATAGACATAGCCAGATGCTACAAGAGATAGTAGATCAAGGTACAGCACAAGTAAAAGCCTTGTCTGATGAATGCAGGAAACAAGCTCAACAGAGTGAGTTATGAAAAGACATGTGCACAAAAAAACAAAGGCATCTAAGGTATTTGTTTGATCAAATATGCATTGCTGCAGATAAAGTAACAAAAATGAGGGAAAAATATAAAATTTAAAGGCTATAGTGCAATCAGTGGGAATCCATGGACAACAACTGCTTGATTTCTTATACGAGGCACAAAATCATTACCAGCAAGCTAGGATGTTTACAATGAGACATTAGAAATAAAGGATGATGTTTAGGCCTTTAGAATATTGCTTTAACTTTATTATGATGTAATTTTAAAATTTTATTTAATAAAGTTTCAAATGGAGATTTCTTTTATCAATATTGGTGATATGACAGATATTAGTATATTTCATGCATATATTTACATATCATACCTATCATACATAT